ACGTTATTCGTAGTAGTCAGTTTAGTAAGCACACGGGCAACAGTTAATTAATGTAAACGAATTTTTAATCGATATTTATACAAAATTACGTAGTTGAAAAATGTTGCATAGATAATTTTATTCCTGTTGCATAGGGTAAATAGGGGAAAGATAACCTACTGTTTTAAAAGAACTATTATAGCATAAATATCATTAACGCGTTAAATGCCATGGGTGTTACCAGTGATTAATTAGTTACTATTAATTATTGCTAGTGACTAGTAATTCCCTCATTTAAACAGTGACTATTTGAAAACATTTCTATATTATAAATAATATTACCTAGTGTTGTGACATTCAAGAAGATAAACGTGCACTGACAATAATACAATTCAATTCAATAATTCGATATTATATCTCTTTTTCATTTCGTGCATTTTGCTCTATGAAATCGCGCGGCATTCAACGTGTCAATACCTATGTTAGAAATTCGATGTATGAATATTTTATTCAATGCGAGGTTTGATATACTGTATGAATTTGGTTTTCAGTATATTATGTTCTAATTATAGCGATGCGACCTGGTATTCTGTTAAACGTGTTCATTGTTTTTACTATTTAAATAAATATATTCTATTCACTTTGTATATTCCCCGAATAAATAATTCGACAACCTAACAGAAAAAAAATATATTTTTTAAACGAAATACATATAAGGAAAACAGTTAAATAGACTTGTCAGTGCAAATTCAGTGTACCACTAAAAACAATTGAAAATATAGATATTTGAAAATCTAAATGAGATCAAACCATCTCACTCGGGATTACCCTATATTTATATTTACGGCGTAAAAAGATTTGTCGTAGTGAAGAAGAAATAGGAAAACAATTTTCATAAGTACCTTAAAAATGTATGGTAATAAGAAAAACTTTTCATCGCGACAACTTCTTCTGCATTTTTAAGAGTTTATGCAATATCATTAAAATTTTGTAAAAATAAAAGGTGGTACTGATATAGAGCATGCAACTCGTTTTTCTATAAACACCTATGTAAGTAAAAGTTCAATATTTTATTAAATATTAAACCCGTAGTGTTAATATAATTATAATTGAAAATATATTTAATCACTACATAGATGAATTTAATGCGAAAAGAAAATATTAATAATGTGTCACTGTTATTTCACGAAGTGCAAACATTGAGACTCACAACTATTACAAAAAATTAATAGATGATAAGAAAAGCCATTTTAAGTAAAATTTTAAGTTTTAATTATAAAATCTATATCATGTAATATCTATACAAACATATGCAATCGAATTTGAATTGATTTCTCAGTAATATTCACGAAAATCAAATATCTGGCTACACATCTAAAGACAATACTGTGATTTTATAAATCCAGAAACATAACTAAATCACTTCCATTATCTCCAAAACCACCCAATATATATAAATAACACAAAAGAAAACGAAATTTCTTATTGGAAACAATTCACAAACAACACCATAAAAAACATTAATAAATATTTTATATTCTCTTACAAATTCTAAACATCTATCAAAGGTGACCCAAAAATTTCGTACAATAATAATTCACAATCGATTCGTACCACTTTCTTATTAGATTGATCAGCCCCGGCATTATCATACTGAATTATTATACGTACTCCTCGGATCATTTCGCGTACTTATTTAATATACTTCGAAGAGAATTTTTATCACGCTCTTCCATGAATTCCGCAGGAAATTCAACAACAGGATCGCGTTCGCCAGACAGGGATATAAATTTCCGATAGAATTTTCTGCCATAATCGATAGGGTACGTTTCTCGTTGATATAGACGTATTTTCACAGGTGTCGGTCTTTCTGTGAGAATACGATACCGGGAGCTTACAGAAACTTCTTCTGACAAATAGTCGACAATCTGGGAATGCACGGTTGCATTCGCGATACTCGCGCGGACCTACACCGTTGGAGGAACTTTCGCCATAACCATTGCTCATTCAGCTGACACGTTCGGAAAACGTTCTTTGTTTACATTTCCCTCGGCAATACACCTGTCTCTCGCGTTCTTACACCCCCCTCTCTTCCCGCCTCTGTTTTTCCTCTCTTTCTCCCACTCTTTTTACCTACTTTTCTTACCCCCTACGGGCTTTCCTCGCTCGAGCACTTTTAACGTGTGTATGCATTGGTAGAGTTTCCACGAGGGTCACAAGTAAAACAAACAAATATTTGCCGCGACACTGTTTCACCACTTCGTCATCGAAAATTTTGCCACACTGCGGGGTTATATCAACGCAATGCGGTGGTTGGTGCGGATGTTAGTGACTCGAATTGCGTTATTGATGTCACAATAGAGACGATCGGGTGACATTGACGGGGATTAAAATTATTGATATTTTATGGGGATAGTGTGATTGTTTGTGAATACTTAGTGTAATTATAAATTTGATTCGCTATTTATGTTATAGATATTAAATGAATTGAATTACAAGTATCGGTTAAAACTGAAAACTATTAAATACTATAATGTGTTCTTCTTAATCTTAATATCGATAGATTGTTCTCGAGAATAAAAAATATTATTGCAATGTGATTTTACATTGTGGATGAAGTATTGATTTTTTATGGAGATAGTGTGATTCTGTTAGTGCTCGATAATTACTTGTGAAAGGAATTATCTTATTTATCAATTATGCATTTAATGAATTGGATAAGTTTAATTATCCTATGTCATAATTCACAAAACTGTACTGATGCCAGTGTAAAAGTAATAATTATTTCAATTTAATTCTATAATATATTGTTCTACGCATATTCCACTACTATCAAACATTAGTTAAACTACTTTAATAAGTTATGATAATACTTCAACAAGTACCAAGTTAATGTTAACGATAAGTTGCTTAAAATGAATAAATTTAACCGAATAAATTTGCAGAAAACACAATCATTAATACATTCTAAATTGTGTTTCGCATAGAAGCAATAACTCGCAATTGACACTTTTAAAATCCCAATAAAAATCACTCAAGTCGTTACTGAACTCCCAAGTGAAATAGTTTACAATTCTTCCTACGGAACGTAAGTTACGCCTCCACTAATCACTCGAACATTTTTCACGTCCGTAAAATCTTCGAATTCCCACCAATCGTTTCCTCGGCCCAAACTTCCGAGCGCGAATCGTGATCAATGGATCACCTCGCCACAGGGACTCCCTAATACCCCATAATGAACTCTGATGGAATTCAATCGGAAGTCCTCGAGAACTTCAACCCCACTACGTTCCTGTTGCGAATACCTGGCCCGTACATCGCGAGGGTTGCATATAAAGTGCACTGCTTATGATAGATCATCTCCGCAATGGAAACCAGCCTCCTCTATCCACGCTAGCATCGCAAATAGCTGCATACGGTATGTATGTAGATCCGAATATTCTCTAACCGAAACTCCGACCGAATATATCCTTCAATAACTTCCTAAGATTACACACTTTTGAAGAATAAAGATCGTGTCAGCAGTTTTTTAGCGTCGCATTTAGGCAGCGTTGTTTTTTGTTAGATCGTTTTTCGCAAATCTATTTGCTGCTGCTTTTGAAACGTTCTTTCTATTAACTTTCGACCCTTATTTTCTTGTCGATTCATTTTATAAAATCTTTTCGCGTTGAAATGTTTCTAATTGAACTATAATATGAAAATTAAATTGAAAGAGCGTGGTACGAATGGCATGCAAAACTTTTGTACTATATCACCTTTTGTATATTGAGATATAATTAATTGTGACTAATTGTTATAATTAAATATAATTAATTATTCTTTCTCCAGTCATAAATTCTTTGAATAATGGATTGGATGACAGTAGAAACAAAAAACAAGGCAAAATTGTCTCGTGCTAGTAAATTTTAATTAGTTAATGTCTTTTGTGCAATCAATTATAAAATATTAATAAATGCAGAAAGAATTTAAGAAACATTTCTAGTTCTATACTATGATGTTTTTACCAATTTCTCTTAAAAATTGTTTAAACTGTCCGATATTATTTCTACATTAAACATTTATTTCTTCTAAAATTGTTAGAAGAAAATTGTTTCTAACACCATGTCAACAAGAAATTTTTAACTCCGTTTATTGTTCTGAAACCTGCTTTACATTGTAAAAGATTCTAATATTTAAATGGTACGTGCATTTATATAAAATAGGTTTTATAGGGTAGCATTACGTTCGCCGTGAAATAGAATTTTATACAGTTTTATGGGCGGACGTAATTATTCACTGTCCGACGTTTTTCTGCCATTCGATCAGGTCGGTAATTCCACGTGTGATGAAACGCGGATTACGCGAGATTTCGTCCGATCTACAGGTGCCTCAACACCCAATCAGTTTTCTTCGTAGCAAGCGCTAAATTAACAAAGGCAAATGAATGGGAACAAAATTTTCCCACGGAATGATTAAAAGAGAAATGTATGAAAACAGCTTTAGTATTAATTACTTGCAGAGCTGAGGTTTTAAAGGTGTCAAAAATAAAACTGTTCATTTGTAATAACATTTAAAATATTAAAAATGCTTTCCATATTATATGAAACAATATTTACAAACAATTTATGAAGTGTGAAAAATATTAAACGAAACTGTATAAAGATTTAAATATTAAACATACAATTCTTTAGTAGTATCAATAACGATATTACTTATTTATTGCCATATTGACAAACATTCAAATAAGAGAAATCTAATGCTATCACTGCGACCATTTAAATGGGCACGCTAATGTGTATCTAAATTGTTAAATCGCTAAACAATAATCATTGATTTAATCAGCATCCACCGCCAGTGAAAACCATCAATTTAATCGTCGTTCATTCTCAGTTGCAAATGATTAATAATCACTACGTGTATGTATGATGATCGTTCGTGTGGCCACTAATTAAATATGCATTTCGTAATCGGGGATTGTTATTTTCATTAAACTTTCCTCGAGATTCCGTGAATCATTGAAATAAATAATAGTAAGTACTCACCACATCGATGAGCTGTGACAGTTTCAATTTGATGCACACGCGCAGCACGTCCGACGTGTTCACTACGGGGCGCACTAATTTATTGTAATTAGATAGAAGATCGTCGTAAAGACGTTTGGCATCGGGATTGCCAGCGACAGCACCATGTACCACTAAAGCCGAGAGAAACCATACGCGAAGTGTTTCCCCTATTATGGGGGGCATCATGGTCCCCTGATTCCTCCACTATGATCGACACACGCGTCACCCCTTTAACCCTCCCTCGACACGAACCGCGAATCACAAATCTGTAACATATGAAAAAATACAATTAAGATTAATTCGATTGTAATTTTACATTGGTAAGATAGGTGTACCATCAACAAACCAGTTGAGATTGTATAAATATTTATATGAATTACTATATAGTTAAGGTAATATAAATATTTACATTTATAAAGAAGCATATTTATATTTATATACATATATGTTTATGTTTGTGTTTGTATTTGTGTTTATATTTATAGTTATGGCATAAATATGATGTTCTTACAGCCTTAACTGGTTTATTACTGGTAATTTTACCTCAATTTATTTTAAACATTTATATAAATTGTGTGATTCCGTTAAAATATATTGGTACACTACAAAGGTATATATTTTATAAACTTTAGTTTCATTAAATTATTAAATTACAATTAATCACCTGTTACATGATACTTTAAGCAAATATTATGCTAGGTTTTGGATAAGAGAAACACGTATTATGTTTCTGGATAATGTATTCAAATAGTCGATTTATGAATGAATATATCTCAAATATAGCAAAAATAGCTTGCTGGTTAATTGTTCGAGCTTAACTTATCAATATTGTTATATCCATAAGGTGTTGTCATATTTTTATTGTACTTTTCCTAAAATTACTTAATTGCGGCACTAGATAATGTGATTGGAAGATTAAAATAAAATGTAATAAATGTCTACTTGACGTGATATAATGCTCATGAATTTTTAGTTACATACTCATAATTACACAATCTGTTAAGCGCAGACATCAGGGAACCGCGAATTAGAGCGAACGACGAACACGAAAGACGAACTCTGACCGCACGTACAATTTCTACGGTGACACTGCAAAGAAAAAGGCGCGAAGCGATCGCGAACCGGGACCGGTAGACGCTAGATTCAACTTTTAAAATAATATTTTCCTTAGAAGAGGACATTTTTCTGCGATTTTTAAATTACGATTGAATTAAAAAGTAATGAAATTAAAAATTATAAATTTTACATGTACGTTCACTTATATTTCAATTTTTTTTATAGAAAATCAACTTGTAAACCGTCTTAGGTAAAACTATATATATATAGCATTAAGAGCAATTAAAATATTTAAACAATCATTAAAATAAATAAAAGACCACTCATACACCAATTTCTTCGAATATTTTCAGCTAATTATAAAAATTAGACTATTTTCTCTGTTCATAAACAAAATAATATATTTTATTGGAATGTGAGGTATCATCAATGATACTCAACGCCAAAGATAGCTGGACATTCATAGTAAAAGATAACAGTATTTGAAAAATTAATCTAAAAGCTGTAAGAAATATGTTAAAAGTATTCAAAACGCGCGCCAAAATTCAAAGTATTTATTATTTGTAATCGATAACAATTTTTTGTTTATATCGATCTCTTTCAATCTCTCATAAACTGGTTAAAGAAATGAAATTTATCCGTTTAAAATATTTCCTTCTTTAGACATAATTTACTAAATAAATATCCTCCAACTATAAGAATGAGTTATTTAAATAAAGTTTATTTAAAATATATTTTATTTTGTCAACATAAATGAAAGAATATAAAGATTATTAAGCCGGTTAAGTCATCTAAACTTATATAAAAAAGAAGCCTAGCTTTCCCCCAGAAATTACAGTAATATTTTCCTTGCCAATTCAATTATAAAGATATCGGCTTTATTTCTTGATCACAACCTAAATAGTTAATGCGAAGAATATGGAGTCCATCCAGAGGACTAAGCAGGTTCTCACAAAGCGTTAGATCACACGAGAACAATATCTCTGTACTGATCGTAAAAATATCAGAGTAACTGCTTTTGAAAAGAATAATAACCCATATAGGAATTAAGTTTCTCGAAAGACATAATAGTGGTATCTGTCTTCGGTAGTGCACCAAGAAACATTCCAGAAATGGTGAATTAAGGTTTAATGAAGAGACACGCGGAGCAATTATCTTCAGCTTTAACATGCCGCGCAAACAGATTGGGTCATCGAGCGAAAGGAAATGCGAGGATTACTTAAAATTGACATTACTATTGTGTTTTGTAACAAACTCTTCTCACCTGGGACTAAACGTATCAATAAAATAGAATTATGCACCGTAGTCACAGTATAATAAATTATACCCATATTTCATGGGACACAGTTGTTCAAAACATCAAGATCTTTTATTATTTCTTACAGAAAACTACAAAAGTTGGAGAATTTTATTTCAATAAATAATCATGCATTATAATTGCAAATGCAATTTAATTTAACAATCATTAAATGATATATTGTACTAATACTAGACCAACGACTCGTGCTAATTATATAAGCTAAAATAATAAATTATAAGATGAATGGAATAACATTTTGAAAAAGCAATTTCTATTTCATTTGCAACGATTTTTTTTTAGTTTTATGTAATGCATTTTATGAACCATGGATGTTCACTTAGAAGAAAATGGATGTCTTGGAACTTAATGTAAGTTCCACGACAGTATTAATAGCTTTTTAATGTCTCGGAAAATACGATTACAGCAACTCTCTTAATATACATTAACACGGAACCGATGTGCGATAAATGAAGTTAAATTAAAATCCGGAGCACGCTACACATCCAATTTTCATCTTCCAACGATAGATCGTCAGAGACACTTTGCGCGCTTTCTTTTCATTCCTTTTGTTTAATCTCGATGAACTCTGTTCATTACTTTAAAATGAAGGGTGCATTAAAAATTATCAACTGAATTCGTGTTTCATTAATTAATTAACACACGGCAAGATCAAGAATCATAAGAATGAGTTTATAGAGCTTTATATTACATTTATAAATGTATTATGACATTGTATTAAACTGGTTTTGAATTTTTAGCAAGAATATAAAAAGAGTAATTTTTTATAACATATTTGAGAGTAAATTATAGTAATATTATAGTCGTAAAATGGATTAAGTTTTATGCTGTGTGCTACATTGTCCACTAACTTTAAAATAACAGAAGGGTTATTAATTTTACAATTATGTCTTTGAATATACAATTTGATATATCACAAAGTGCTCGTTAAAGTGTAATGAATTTATCGGTTAACCGTTAAGATTACTAAGCAATATTGTTGTAATTAATAACGGTCCTGATCAAAGCGAATACAATCATTGTATACCATTAACTTGTTAATTACTACTAATAAAGTAATTAAAATGTAATATATTTTTGAAGATCAATCTTTCTCCAAATTATGGTTTCTATTTTTTCCAAGAAAGCGTAATTGATATTCCAAAATTTTTTTGAAACAAGCATCAAAATGAGTTTTAACGTACAAAATTAAGGCCAAGTTTATTATATCACTCATCAAAATTTTTTAAAAAAGTTTATTTATAGTTGCTTATATGTTCAGGAATACTTTTAAAAAATAAGTTTTCTTGCAGTGAAAATATCATAATGTTTGACATAAAAGTTTAATATCTACTCTAAAGTTAAATTATAACATCGTAGATCAGAAAAGTATCCAAACTATGATACAGGATTTCCTATATGAACATTTCACGCGAATCAAGAGATTAAACAAGAACTACATAACATTCAATCACATGTAAATTTTTTATTTAATTTTATACATATGAATACCATTCTTATTATATTAATCGAATTTTACAACAAAATATATATCTAGAATTTATATTTTCCTTGCAAGATTATTAAAAATAAAAGTTTTTTTCGCTTTCTCTTATCGTTCTCAAGGTAATCCAAGGGAAGAAAACTTTTAGAATTTTTTTCAAGGGGTGGGTTCACCCCTTCAAAGTAAATACAGCGCGAACAGAAATTGCAATGTATTGGGTTTGACTTACTCTATTTACACACAAAGTTTCTTAATTTTATTAATTTCTGACTTCGATAACTTCTCTTGTGAGAAAAATTTATCGACTAACTTGTTTACCTTTATTTTTTAGCCAGTTATTTGTGTTTTATAAAGCTCAGTTGAAAAATAAATCATGGGACAAGGGGTTAATGTTTCTCGTAAGCAGAGGCAAATATGGGCGCAGGCGTCGACTATTAGAGGACAACGAAGTGCTGAGCCCATCATTTCCGAAGCGATACATCGCGAATCGACCAACGACTGATTGATTCGCGTATCTCGCGGAAGGCCATTATAGGAAAGTACGACGCAATTCGACGAGATAACCGCCGGATGTAAATTCCTGCCTATATCTGACAGCGTTTAATCCGATTTTCAACGATCGTTATGCAGCTTGTCCGATTAGTCTCGGTGAACCACTCATCGGTGTTAGAATTAGGATTATCACAATGGTCCTTCTACTTAGATAATAAATTCTTATCTGAGAAATTTCAATGTGTTCCTATCGAGTATACACGGAAATCGATAGGTATTATTTATTTCCTTTGAAAAACGAATCGAATCAAACTTTAACCGTTCGAGTGTCACGGATCTTTGCGAAAATTCGATTGCGATATACCTAGTAACACTATTCCACTTCTTTTGTTTTTAATTTCATATTTAACGAATTTTGTCCTAAGGTTGTTACTTCACATATTGCACTTTTCCGTTAAATTTAGCATTAAATTCTCTTGTTTGTTTCTGGTCCAACTTCTTTTTTTACTTGTATCATTTTCTTATGAAGAATTTTACTTTTATAATTATTTTTATCGTTATTTTTCAATAATTTCGTAATCACGTTGTTGGATGTTCTACTGTAGTTTTCTATATATAACTTCCCAGAGCAATGTTTTTAGAGAGTTCACAAAGAAAAAATATTCCCCCTTTAAGTACCCACCCCTCGCTGCAACCATACATATGCAGGCAAATTAACGGGAGTTGACAACACCGTCGGAAGAAACTAAGTGAATACCTACAGTACGTTCAACGAGTCGAGGCACCAGATATAAACAAAATATTCGCGCGTTAACCCCTTGCCATGCAATACCGAGTCAGACTCGTGAGAAGATTCTTGAAAGAAAGTTGAAAAAATGAAACGTCATTCAACTACTTTGAGTTCAGATTAAATTCTC